AATGACAGATATCCTAAACTTCAAATCATATTTACTCCATATATTTATCGTCAAAAAAGGAGATAACTTCCACCTTGACTATGACCTTGTCTAAATATGATCAGAGTTGGTGAACTCAGGGGGCTTCCATAGCCTTGGCAGCTCATGACAAGAGCCTAGGGTGATTACTGAGGCCATAAACAAGAGTGTCAATTTGTTAAGTCAACAACAGGAGTCACTGTGCACTTACTCCTCATGTAGGATCTCTGTCCTTAATGTGCTGTACATTGTGATTTAAAGCTATAACTAGTACTCAAACAGTATTTTTCACTTTGTGTTTCTATGTGGGTACAAACTGTTGAAATCTTCACTTAATATATGCTAAACTGATCTTCTGTATATAAAGAGAACTGAAAATGAATCTTGATGTGAATGGAAGGGGAGAGGTAGAAGGAAAGGGGAGGGTTGCGGGTGGGAGGGACGTTATGGGGGGGAAGCCATTGTAATCCATAAGATGTACTTTGGAAATTTATATTCATTAAATAAAAGTTAAAAAAATTGTAATCAAATAATCTAATCATAGATGCATTTTACATGGATTATAACATATCTATGTGAATTTATGATTTATAAAATTGCTGACAGCATAAGATAGCAATGCAAATAATAAAATGACCTAAATCTTGTCCTCAAGAATCTTCTCTATTTTTCCTCCCCAGCACATTCAGCAAAATACATTGAGAGACTGTGAAAGGACCGTGGGATTGGGCCATGCATTAGAAACTCACAGATCAGGAGAAGCAGTAGAGCCATCTTCCCATTTCCATTCGTTGGCCTCCTGCTTGTAAGACAGGCCAAGCCAAGCATGACTCACCGAAAGTAATGGCATGATGTTCTGCATGAAGACATAAGACACTAAAGATGATTACTTAATAGTAAAAGTGCATAACAGACAAAAATTATGGGACTTGTGTGAAGTGAGAAGGAACAAAATCATAAAAGTGATGAAGTCTATATAGACCCACTAACAAATGAAACATAAAAACAATTCTCCATTTCAAACTCTGCATTTTGTGAACTATGAATTAAATATAAAAATGAGAGAAGTAACATAAAGTTTGATGTTCAAGACGACACTATGCCACAATGTGACTGATTTTGTAAATGTTAATTTTCATTTCATTTGAAAGAGAGAGAGAGAGACAGGCAGAGAGAGATCCTTCACTCCCCAAACATCCACAATAACCACAATGGCCAAGATGAAGCCAGGAGCCAGGAATTCTATCCAGGTCTTCCACACTGTGGCAGGGACCAAAGTACTTGGGCCATCACCTGCTGCCCCCCACGATAGGCACAGGCAAGGAGCTGGATCAGAAGCAGGGAAGCCAGCACTGGAATCAAACTCTCTGATATGGGATATGGGCATCCCAAGCAGCAATTTAACTGCTGTGCCAAACACTCTCCATGAATCACATTCTTTGTAAAACTCACTTTACCTATTATTGAGCTCTGTGCCCCTGTTTTGAGCTTGAGATATATCACTGAACAAAAATGACAAAAATCTCTGCTTCTGAGGTATTCAGGCGGATAAATACAAACAACATATATGTTAAATAAGTAGTATGTAAGAATGGGATACATGCTATGAAAAATTCAAGCAGGGTGGAGAGTACCATGGAGGGTGTCTCGGGGACACCGACACATGGGTGCCAATATTAGCCAGGGTGTTAGGCCAGGCCTCATTAAGGAATTGGTAACTGGTAAGTAGTTGAGGACATGGGGTATTAGCGATGGTCATATCTGAGAGGACACTAAATACAGACTGGATGGTGAATGTAAATGCCCCACCTGAGGGCTTGCTTGGCGTTTATAGGAAGAGAAAGCCGTGCATAGCGGAACTCTCAGGGAAAGATCATCACAGCACAAAGCAAAAGTCTACCTTTCGGGGGCTGGCACTGTGGCGCAGCGGTTATAGCCCTGGCCTGAAGCACAGGCATCCCATATGGGCACCGGTTCTAGTCCTGGCTGTTCCACTTCCGATCCAGCTCTCTGCTATGGCCTGGGTAGAAGTAGAAGATGGCCCAAGTCCTTGGGCCCCTGCACCTGTGTGGGAGACCTGGAAGAAGCTCCTGGCTCCTAGCTTTGGATTGGCACAGCTCCAGCTATTGTGGCCATCTGGGGAGTGAACCAGCAGATGGAAGACCTCTCTCTGTGTCTCTCTCTACCTTTCTGTAATTCTGTCTTTCAAATAAATAAAATAAATCTTAAAAAAAAAAGTCTCCCTTTCCCTTGTTTTAGAGTTGCAGGTGAGTTCTTCCTGTGACTGATCCTTTGTGTGTGTGTGTATGTGTGTGTACACACATATAGACATATATGATATATATTTATACATAAAGGATATATATATTTATATAGATAAATCAATATTCAGAAGGAAAGAATGAAATTCAACCTCACCATCAATGTGCTCCTTTCTGTCTTTAAAAACGTAGCATTCACAGTGCTGCAAAGATAAGGACATTGGAACCAAGAAACTGTTTCCGTGGTTTGGTTGTAGCAGTGGTCTCTGTGCTGTATCCAGTGGTTTACAGAAGGTCCAGGTCTGTTTGCTAAGAAAGAAAATGCTTATAACCCAGAGCCCACTGAACCACACACACCTGCAATTTTGACCCCACCATCAAGTTTTGATATGGGTTCCCTCTTTAATCCTGTCCCTTAACTGAAAGTTAACATAATTGAATGAAAACAAAAATAAAGATGCAGAAAGGAGCAATAGACAATAAAGGGTGTTAGATGGAATAATGAAGGGGTTAATGTGATATATATAAAAGGCATGCATTTCAATCACCAAAATTTTGACATTGTACCATGATCATTTGTAATAAGAATGCTTTAAAATTATATAGACATATAGATATCGCAGATTGTAAGGTGCTTATGTATTTTCTGCTCATCTAAAGAGAGTTATAAAGTATGTGAAGAATAACTGATCCCAAGAACCACCACCAGGTCAGAATTATCTCACTTCCGAATTACCTTCTTTCCATCTGAGCTCTTGTAGAATGTCCATGAGAAGCATGTTCTGGGTTTGGAGCCCCTCTAGGGTTTCTGTGGGGGACAATAAGACTTAACACTAGATGAGGATGTACATTGTACTTGCTTTTTGTAGTTTTTCAAAAATCATATGCTATCACATGATTAAAATATTGAAATACACAAATAATTTTATTCCAGTCCCTTTCCTTAACTACATTAGTTTGATTTCTGCCTGAAAAGATGTGATTGGTAACTTAGAATCACACCTTTTACCCTGATTAAAGGACTAAAGGTAAAGGACTCCAGAAAGGTTGATTTAAAAGCAGACACTTCAGTGCAAGGTCTTTGTCAAACACTTTTCATGAATGCAGACGATCCTCACGTTAGAATTTAATTAGCATAAAGGAGATGTATGGTTGCTCAGGTATGTTAAATTTGTCTCCTTAAGGAGGAATTTAGGAACTATGAAAACACCATCTTTCAGAACATCTTGCACCTACTCTTCTTACACACCTGATCCTTTGTTTTATTTCTATGTCTTTCTGTAAGACTCCAAAGGATAAAGTAAACATTGTATTTGAGACACCTGCATTGATTATCGACCTAGTGTTTGGCATGCGGTATGCTTTGAATAAATGTGAATTAATAAGTGAGTGAATGTGCAAATTGACTTGGGAACTACATCTGATCATTGTGAGACTTGTTTTGAGAAGAAAACATGAGGAACTAAAAGTGGCAAAAGCTATCATGTTGCTATCATGTTGCTATATTGTGTAATGATACCTATTAGAACTGCTACAAGAAAACAATCCAGCAATCTGTAAAGATGGTGCATACCAACTCTAATATTACCTTTATTTTGGTCAACAACATTTTGGATCTGAAGAAATTTTTCTTCATTGTTTTGAATCCATTGGTTAAGGCTCTGCATCATGCTCTCTGAGGCCTGAACGTCTAAGAACAAGAATTCACAACACGGACGTAATAATGCTCAACTATTAATCAAGTAGTTTGAAGATTATTAAGTTTAATTTTTATAATTGTTTTCTTTAGAAGAACTTTGCAAAACTATAAAAAGATACTTGATTAAGAATGCCTTAATGTACCCACTATTATCCCTAAAATAAATCTGTTTCTGAAATGAAAGTGTCATCTCAATTTCTTATAAGACTGAGTTCTGGAGCCAGCACTGTGGCATACTAGGTTAAGTCTCTGTCTGTGATGCCAGTATCCCATATGGACTCTGGTTTGTGTCCTGGCTGCTCCTCTTCTGATCCAACTCTCTGCTGATGGCCCAGGGGAGCAGTGGAAGATGGCTCAAGTGCTTGAGCTCCTGCAGCTGTGTGGGAGTCCTGGAGGAAGCTCCTGGTTCCTGGCTTTGGATTGGCACAGCTCCAGTTGTTGCGGCCATTTGGGGAATGAACCAGCTAATGAAAGACCTCTCTCTATCTCTCTCCTTTTCTCTGTCTTTAACTCTACCTCTCAAATAAATAATTAAATCTTTAAAAAAATTGGATTTAACTTAATAAAACAAACAACAGAAAGCAAGTCTCCCAAAAAATCTGTTGGCATCATAACCGATTCACTGATTTTTATGTATATAATGTAACTTAATATTTAAAGTTCTAGAATTTTGAGTTTCAAACTGATTTTATCACTAAAAACTACTATTTATACATTAAAATGTTGCTGGAGGCATGGACTGCTTGAATCACTTATAAATTATTTTCTATTGTCAAAGTAAATTTGTCAAGCTAAATTTCTTAATAACCTGTAACTTCTAAAATAATAATAATTACTAATTATTTTCAATATTATCTATATAAATTAAAAATCTATAACTTCCCTTGGTAAAATCTGTGATTACTAATAGCCCACAAGGTCAAGTTCATCTAGGAAAAAGCTGTGAGTTACATGTTACTGTTTGTTTCCTGTTCTCTATTAATTGTGGAAATAAGACAGCTATCATAAAATAATATCTGCAATGTTTAAATAAATATGATAACCTGACAAAGAATCATGCCTTATTTTTACTCAGTTGATCAGACTTACACTGATAGCCAAAGAATCCACACAATCCCAAGAGGAGCAGGCTGAGAACTCCCAGGATCACAGGAGTAGTTGCATGTAGACACCGTGAAAAAGAAGCTGAGAAGCAGAAAGAATGCTCATCAGAAATGTGAATTCCTGCTACTTGAAAGATCAATATTAATATTTTCCATCCCATATGCTTCTCAAAATATCTGAAATTTTCTGAAAGATAATGTTCAGTGGTGAATTACTGAATGAGAAAAAATAAAATGATTTAATTTTGTGTAGGAGTGGGCATTTGGCCTGGTCATTAAGATGTCACTTGAGACACCTGCATCCTATACTGGAGTCCTGGTTCTGGCTCCTGATTTCAGCTTCCTGCTGATATACACCCTGGAAGGCAGTGTGATGGTTCAAGTGTTTAGGTTCCTGCTAGCTACATGGAAGACTTGGACTGAGCTCCTGACTCCTGGCTTTTGAGAAGTGAATAAGCAAATGGGAGCCTCTCTCTCTACCTCTCAGATCAATACATTTTTTTAAAAAAAAATAAGAAGTGTATGGCCTGCATTGTGGTATAACAGGTAAAGCAAGCATCCTCTATGGGTTCGTGTCCCTGTGATGATGGCATCGCACATTGGCACCAGTTTGTGACCTGGCTGCTCCACTTCTGATCCAGTTCCCTGCTAATGGCCTTGGAAAAGCAGTAGAAAATGGTCCAACTGTCTGTGGGGAGAGAGTATTCTATCTGCTGGCTCACCTCCCAGATGGCCACAATGGCCAGGGTTGAGCTAGGCTGAAGCCAGGAGCCAGGAGCTTCAACCATGTGTGCAGTGACCCAAACACTTGGGCCATACTGCTTTTCCCAGGCCATTAGCAGGGAGCTGGATCAGAAGTGGAGCAGCTGGGACATGAACTGGTGCCCATGTCGGATGCCCACTTCTCAAGCAGAAACTTTACCCTCTGTGCCACAATACTGGTTCCTAAATAAAAAAAAAAATACAGTGAAATTCTAGATGGCTATGCACATGAAACCTCAGATGGAAGCAGTTTCTGCAAGCTGGCACTGCGTCCCCCCGTAGAATCTACCTGCTGGAACCGGTCTTGACTGCAATTCCCAGTTCTACCCCTTTTCAGTATGAGGTAGCTAGAATGGTCATCAGTCACTGCCCAGTTTCCCTAACAGAAGTTAGGGTCCATCCTTCTGGGGGAGGGAATGTGAGGAGTCAGTGGGGTTAATAGGCAATCAGTGATTATCAACTGTGGAAAATTTTTGCAGCCCAGCACACTGCTGTAAATATCTGGACATTTTTCATATCATAGCTGAGGGGGCTGATGCTACTGGTATCTAATGGTCAGAAATCAGGGAGTAATCTTGAACATAGTGTAATTACAGAAAAGCCTTCCATAACAAAGAGTTATTCATGCCAATGTCACAATACTGAAGTTAAGAAACCCTGCTCTAACTAGATGATATTGTTTGTGATCAAAAGGAAGCAAACATGTAGTAGTGCTCTTGATTTTTTTTCGATTTTTACAAATTTGCTGAATTTTAAACCTTGATCATCTTGCTTAAAATTCTGATTTTTTGTATAAGGAAACAAGTCTAAATTTAGACAAATGGCTTCTTCCTTATTTATTTATTTTTTGACAGGCAGAGTGGACAGTGAGAGAGAGAGACAGGTCTTCCTTTTGCTGTCGGTTCATCCTCCAATGGCCACCGCAGCCGGTGCACTGCGCTGATCCGAAGGCAGGAGCCAGGTGCTTCTCCTGGTCTCCCATGGGGTGCAGGGCCCAAGCACCTGGGCCATCCTCCACTGCACTCCCTGGCCACAGCAGAGAGCTGGCCTGGAAGAGGGGCAACCAGGACAGAATCCGGCGCCCCAACCGGGACTAGAACCCGGTGTGGCGGCGCCGCAGGCAGAGGATTAGCCTATTGTGCTGCAGCGCTGGCCTTCCTTATTTTTAAATGTTTCTTTTCTATGTGAAATTTTCAAACATTTCCCTTTGTTGTACTTCCATATGTTTGGAAATAATACACTGAGGCTGGTGTTGTGGTGCAGTGAGTCAAGCTGCCATTTGTGAAGCTGGCAGCTCATATTGGAGTCCTGGTTGCTCCGCTTCTGATCCATCTTCCTGCTTATGTGCCTGGGAAAGCAGCACATTGATGACCTAAAAATTTGGACTGTGCCATCCTCGTAGAAGACCTAGATGGAGTTTTACACTCCTGGCTTCTGTTTGGCCCAGCTCTGGCCATTGGGGTCATTCAGGAAGTAAACTAGGAGATGAAAAATCTCTCTGTTTTTCCTTCTCTCAATCATTTTGCCTTTTAAATAAATAAATAGGGGCTGGTGCTGTGGCACAGTGGGTTAACGCCCTGGCCTGAAGTGCCGAAAATCCTTAGGGCCACAGGTTGGAGACCCGGTTGCTCCACCTCTGATCCAGCTCTCTGCTATGGCCTGGGAAGCAGTAGAAGATGGCCCAAGTCCTTGGGCCCCTGCACCCATGTGGGAGACCCAGAGGAAGCTCCTGGCTCCTTGCTTCGAATTGGCACAGCTCTGGCCATTGCGGCCATTTGTGGAGTGAACCATTGGATGGAAGACCTCACTGTCTCTCTCTGCCTCTCCTCTCTCTGTGTAACTCTTACTTTCAAATAAACAAATAAATCTTTAATAAATAAATAAATCTTAAAAAATAAAATATTCTAATCTTTATATTTTGTCTAAATACAAAAATTCCTAATAGTAGTAACTTGAAAATAGTAAAATAACAAAATGAACCTTACTACTCAAAAAGAAATACTGCAAGCTAATAAAATCTTATATATATACATATATCTATATATAATATATTTTACCATTCACATTGGTGGTATTAGGAATTGGGATCCATTCATCCTCTGGAGGGGGAGGGAGGGGAAGATCCGACTTTGGCTCCAGCTCCACGATAGGAATTGTCTCTGTCTTGTCTGCAATTTCTTCTAGCATAGAACATATATAATTAAGCCAACATAAAAATTGAATACATAATTAATATAAAACAAATGAGATTAAAATTATGTCTAACATTCTTATTTTGAAAGATCTTTTGAAATATAGTACAAATACAATAGTGGAAGATAAATCAGAAAATCACATTTCAACCCAGTAGCCCATTTAGCCCTCCTAAAATGATTTAAGCTGATTAAATTTACTTTTTGAATAGCCAGGGAATAGATTAGTTGGTGTTAATTGTATTAAAGGCACTCTCAGATATTTCTAAGAAATATTTTTAGATAGACCTCTATTAAAATCATAACTAGCAAAGATGACAAAGACAATTAAGTAAAATTTTACTTTCATTAAAAAGCCTTAGGACATTCGGATTAAAAACATACCTGGAGGTTGTTCACAGTCTGGAGCATCTGACATTATGAGAATTGTTTTTGACTTCTTTTTCCAGTGGTGAAGAAGAGCCTGTGACGGTGTTGGCAGGTGAATGAGGTGATATTTCCACCTACTATGCTCCTAGAGTGGATAAAAGTCCAGAGCCAACCCAATGTGAGGCAGTGACTTTCAGTTGTACAGTACAAACCACAGAGGAAATGTGAATTTATAGCTGAAACATATTTCTAACAGTCTTACAAAAGCTAAAATTGTCACTATTTAGCTAAATTATGTGCAAGCTTTCTAAGAGCAGCTGGCTTGTACAAGTACCCTTTATTTTGCTGGAAATTTAAAAAATTAATTAAGAAAATCTCCTGTCTTCAAAAAATTATAATCAAAAGATCTAGAGGGAAAATTTCCATGAATTAGTATAGTGTAGGAAAACATAGACATGCAGAAAACAAGGAATTATTTTCCAGAGGAAGAAAAAAATGAATAATATTGGAAATAGCAGATAATTTGTTAATCAAAGGTAGAAATCACATGTTAAAATCTATCCATACAATGACAGGTAGGCTTAGGTTTCTTGATGACCCCCCCCAACCTTTTTTTTTCAATTAAGGGTGAGTTCTATTTATAGAAATATGACTGGGCAACCACAAAAAAAACCTATCTTTATTATTTATTTTATACATATAAGCAAAGTTCAATATTTATAGTGAATAGAAATAGATATTGCATCCAAACAAAAATAGATATATGGCTTTCTCATTGGGGTTATAACCTCAGAGAAGTTAATTCGTGTTTGAGCTAGTCTGGCTGAAACCACATGAGATACTTCAGATAAGGGCAATTTCCCATCCTTCCATGTATAGTTCAAAAGTCTTACAAGAAATCCTAAAAATATATCCTATCTTATGTTTTCATGTATTAAAAAAACCCTGATTGATTATAAAAGATTATAACTTTGCAATATACCAAAAAGTTTCCATAGTGTCAGATGTGAGAGGAGTCTTAATTTTTCATATATGTATTATCGGTTTTCTGCTTATATTGCAACTGATTTTTTTCTTTTCACTTTTTGATCTGACTCAAAATTTTAAACTCTGATTTGATTGTTTTGAAGATGCAGGGCCTGTGGTGGCTCCATGTGCGCTAAATGTGTGTGCGATGGGATCAAGCATGCCTTTCTTTTTAAGGAGCAGAAAATCACCGTGAATGTTTTGAAGCTATAAGCACAGACTCAGAAAGCTAAATTAAAAATATGAAGTTTCTGGGGGTCAGTGTTGTGGAGTATTAGGTAAAGCTGTTGCCTGCAATGTTGGCATCCCTTAAGAGAGCCTGTTCACATCCTGGTTGATCCACTTCCAACCCAACTGCCTGTTGATGGTCTGGGAGACAACAGAGGATGGTCCAACTGTTTGGGCTCCTGTACCTACACGATGAATCTCCTGGCTCCTGACTTTGGCCTGGCCCTGGCCTTTACTTCCATTTGGATAGTGAATCAGCGATAGAAGGTCTCTTTCCCCCTTTCTCTCTGTAACTCTGAAGTTCAACTAACTAAATAAATAAATAAAAATTTTTGGGTAATTAAAAAATGCTAAGTCAGATTCAGATAACCATTGATAACAAGGAGGAAAAAGTATCAATAATCAATACTTAATGATCACTTATAATAAGAAAATACAAAAAATAACATGATGTCTACATTATTCTACATTACCCATCTGTAGACAAATCCATTTCATTTGAATGAAATGATTTTATTCATGATAAGGTTAACCACCTCTCCACTTGGGTAGTTATATACATTTTAAAGAGGGAATAAAGAATGAGCTAGAAGGCTAGTTCTTTATGATTTGTAGTTTAGGAGTAAAATGCAAATTGAATGCTAATAGGCACTTAAAATACAATATAAAAAAGGAAAAGAAGAAAGAAGATGAAAAGCAACAATTAATAAATTGCTTATTAATTTTATGAGAAAATTGTTGACATTGGCCATTCTGCAAGTGGAGATATTAAGGGAGAAACAAATATTATTAAGGTTTGCTTCCTTGTTAGGCACCGTGTTATTCATTGTTTTATAATTATTTTCTTTTTTATTTTTTTTTTATTTTTTAAATTTATTTGACAGGTAGAGTTAGACAGTGAGAGAGAGAGAGAGACAGAGACAAAGGTCTTCCTTCCATTGGTTCACCCCCCAAATGGCTGCTATGGCCGGAGCTATGCTGATCCAAAGTCAGGAGCCAGGTGCTTCCTCCTGGTCTCTCATGTGGGTGCAGGTGCCCAAGCACTTGGGCCATCCTCCACTGCCTTCCTGGGCACAGGAGAGCTGGACTGGAAGAGGAGCAGCCGGGACTAGAACCAGCGCCCATATGGGATGCCTGTGCCACAGGTGGAGAATTACCCAAGTGAGCCACAGTGCCAGCCCCAATTGTTTTGTTTTATTATATTTTATTGTTTTATTGTGTTTTAAAGGAAACTCTTTCCAGTTGTCTGCTTCTCAAAGGACATGGGCAGTTGGTGTGGCCTCCATTCTTCCATGTAAGGGCACCATGAGGGGTGACAGAGGCCATGGTCGTGGTGGGTAATTTGGTTCCAGGGTGGGCTGGGGAAAGGTTCAGGCCCTTTGTGTCACGTCTCCCATTTAATTTCAGTTTTGTGAAATGGCTTTCTCCTGGGTCAAGCCAGCTCCTGATAAAACTTCCTTCAGTGCAGCTTTGCTGACAAGAAATCAGGACGACCTGGCTTGCTACCAATTCTGCTGCAGAGGTCTCTTTCCTTTCTTTAGTGACAAAAATAAAAAAAAAAAGTGATTGACACTTTGTTAGTGGCTCCAGGGACATTTGAAGTGCAAATGGAAGAATTTCAACAGGTAGGATCTTATAAAAAGGGAATAGTGATTACAGGAAGCAATGTGGCTGACCTGGTGGGCACACGGAAGATTCTGCCAGCATTGGAAGCTGGTGCTGCCCTGGAGAGCTAAGTCGTGGAAAGCACAGGATCCTTGGAAAATTCAGTTCTTCTGATACCAATAAAAAGATGAAAAAATATGAAAATGACGTAAACAACAGTTCTGGAACTGAAAGTAGAATAAATAGGATGGAAAATTAAGTAGAGAGACTCTACAGTAGATATGAACAGGCAGAAGAAACAACTAACAAACTTTAAAATAAGACTGCTAAGATTAGAGAGTCTGAAGAATACAATGACAAAGAAGGAAGGAAAGTGAACAATACTTACTAAGATGTGTGATCAAGATTAAGAGGATAATAATACACATTAAGGGAATCCCAGAGAGCAAAGAAAAGAAGAAAAGGTGTTCAGAGATTATTTGAAGAAATAGAAAACTTTTCAGATTTGGTGAAAGACATTAATCTAAAATCCAAGATACTCTAAAAGTTATAGGTAGATACTTAAAAGAACCCCTAGAATCAAACTGGTAAAAGCCAGAGTCAAGGGGATGATCTTGAAAACAGAAAGAAGGAAGCAACTCATTTTATATAGGGTTTTTTTCATAAAATTGTCACCCAACTTTTTATCAGAAACCTCAGAGACCACAGGCAGCCAAATGATATATCTAAAATGCTAAAAATAGAAAAAGTCCACGGTCTCCTTTTGCAGGGGTTTATATACTTGGCAAATCCACTCTTCAAGAAGGAGGAGCAGCTAAGCGAAAGCTAAGGGAGTTCATTACTAATCCATAAGCAATGCTAATGTGGTGCTTCATGGATAAATAAAGGAGGGAAGACAGCCAAAGTCTTAAGAAGAAATAAATATTTCTTGTAAAGGTAAATAAAGCAAATATAAAAGCCAGTATTACTGTGATATTGGTTTACAACTTCACTTTTTAGATTTTCTATGTGCTGCAAAACAAAACTCCTTACAAAATTTAGAAATTTGTTACTGAGCACATAATCTGTGAAAAAATGATTGTGACATCCATAGCATTAAGGGAGCAGGAGTTAGTAGGAACATAATTTTTGCATACTATTGAAGTTAGTATCCATTCAAAGTAGGAATAAACCAATTAAAATTAAACACTTTGAACCAAAATGATACATATGTAAAGGCAAGGACTATTGCTTAAGGAGATTAAAACATAGGAAAGGTACCCCATAATTATGGAGTAGAATAATCAATATTATTAGATTACTAGATTCAATATAACATATACACATATATCAAAATCCTAACATTTGCATTTGCTGAAATAGAACAATTCATCCAGAAATTTATATAAAACTCTAAGACTCTGAGTAGCCAAAAACAAAAGAAAGAAAAAGGAAGAAAGAAAAAGAAAATGAAGCTCTCATACTTTCCGATTTCCAAACTTATTAAAAGCTATAATAAGCCAAGACACTGTGGCAAAAAAAAAAAAAATGACCTAAATGAAAGATCTCTGTGAGTGAGATCCCAGTGGAAAGAACGGGCCATCAAAGAAGGAGGTACCTTTCTCTGAAGGGAGGAGAGAACTTCCACTTTGACTATGGCCTTGTCTAAGTAAGACCGGAGTTTGTGAACTCAAGAGGCTTCCATAGCCTTGGCAGCTCTTGACAAGAGCCTCTGGTGATTACTGACATCATAAATAAGAGTGTCAATTGTTAAATCAACAACGGGAGTCACTGTGCACCTACTCCCCAAGTAGGATCTCTGTCCTTAATGTGTTGTACTATGTGAATTAACGGTACACCTACTACTCAAACAGGACTTTATACTTTGTGTATCTGTGTGGGTGCAAACTGTTGAAATCTTTACTTAGTATATACCAAGTTGATCTTCTATGTATAAAGATAATTAAAAATGAATCTTTTTTTTTTTTTTGACAGGCAGAGTTAGACAGTGAGAGAGAGAGACAGAGAGAAAGGTCTTCCTTCTGTTAATTCACCCCTCAAATGGCCACCACAGCCAGCGTGCTGCGCTGCTCCGTAGCCAGAAGCCAGGTACTTCTTCCTGGTCTCCCGTGCGGGTGCAGGGCCCAAGGACTTGGGCCATCCTCTACTGCTTTCCTGGGCCAGAGCAGAGAGCTGGACTGGAAGAGGAGCAACCGGGACAGAACTGGTGCCCCAACTGTGACTGACTAGAACCTGGAGTGCAGGCGCAGCAGGTGGAGGATTAGCCTAGTGAGCCAAGACGCCAGC